ACAGCGATCAGGGTTTAGGGTTTAGGGTTTCGGGTTTAGAGAGTAGGTTGAGCTATGTGAGCACCGAATCCGCCGTACTGCTGGCTACTTTCGATGGACAAAAACAAGAGTAGCAACACGTTCATTCGGGCGAGCTTTCGCAGTATGCTTTCCCGGCAAGACGGAAACAATAGGGGACCGCCATCAAGAACAACCGAGCACTTTCAGCTTTGCCCCAGTCGGACAAAAAAAAGCATGCCTGGCACCCTATACCCTGAGCTTCAGCCAAAACTGGGTTCTCGGTGAATCAGACAGATAGAAGGACAGAGAGGTTCATGAAAACAGGCTGCTACCCCTAATATACAGTAGCCCTGTCTAAGTTGCCCCAATCGAACAGCCATATCCGGCTCTGATTCAGAGGCTCACGACATCGTTATAAGCTTGGGTTAAAGGGTTTAGGGCTTTCGGGCGTGGAAACCCTAAACTCCCTAAACCCTAAACCCTAAACCCTAAACCAGTGCGTAGAAACCCTAAACCCTCCCAAACCCGAAATCCTAAACCCTAAACCAACGCGTAGAAACCCTAAATTCCCAAACCCGAAATCCACAGTGCGCGCCTGTATGGGGCCGAGGAGACGGAGGGGCCTCCCAACCAAAACGCAAATGCTCAAAGGGATGACAACTTCGGTTTAGGGTTTAGGGTTTGGGGTTTAGGGTTTAGGGAGTTTAGGGTTTAGGATTTAGGGTTAGGGGGTTTCGGCAGGGTTTAGGGTTTAGGGTTAGGGCTTGGGGTTTAGGGTTTAGGGTTTAGGGGTTTAGGGTTTAGGTTGGGGTTTTAGTGGGTTCGGCTTAGGGCTTTGAGGGTGTATCGGGTTTCGGTTTAGGGCTGTATATAGGATTTAGGGTTTAGCCGTGTATTGGTGTCTAGGGTTTATAAGGGTTTAGGGGCTTTGTGGATTGGGGTTTAAACCTAAAGCCCTAAACCGTAGATCCTAAATCCTAAACCCTAAACCCTAAATCCTAAACCCGAAACCCTAAATCCTAAACCCTCAACCGATGGGGGTTTACGGTTCGAAGTCTGAGGGGCAGTAACTCTGGGTTTCTTTAGGCACAGGGGGCTGGGGCTCGAAGGCCACAAGGAGTCGCTGCGAAGGAGCGGCTGATATACTTCAGGTGCAATAGCGACATCTGTGTGAAGTAATCGCTAGTTTCCTAGTTTGGGAAGGACCCCCAAATCTGTAATCCTTGTCTCGAAGGCCTCTCAAACCTATTTAACAAGCCTTAGGCTCAAAGCCCTAAATCCTGTAAAACTGCTTTAAAACCTACAAGCCCTAGACCCTAAACCCCAAAAACCCTTAGTCCTAAGCCTAAACCCTATAAGTCCTATACAACCTAATCACCGCATACCGAGATTTTGACTTCGCTGGGGACGCCTCCCATGAAGCCGAAGTCTCCGAGCAGCCAGAAGCCATCCTTTCTGAGAAAAAGCAGCGTTTGAGGATTCCATTTTAGGGCTATGGGTTATAGGATTTTGGGTTTATAGGGTCTTGGCATGTATAGGGCTTAGGGTTGCAGGTTGTAGTTGTAGGGTTTACGGCTTCGGGTTCTTTACTCATTCTATGTCATGTAGCGCCTTATGTTGGGTCTTTGTGTGGTGTTATGTCGGGTATTGTTACATAGTCTCTTGTCAGTACGTACCTTTAGGGATTACAGAACGGTTCAAAGCACACAAACACACACATACTTGCATACATGCAAACATATATATATATATACACACATACACACACATACACACACATACATACATACATACATACATACATACATACATACATACATACATACATACAGACATACAGACACGCACAACATGAACACAAAGGTAAGTGACCAGCAGCAAGAGTCACGAACCGGAACCAGGAAACAGCGCCAAGCCAAATCAACACGCACAGCTCCACAGCAGTAAATCCACTGATTTCCAGCAAAGACCACGGATGTGAAGCATCAAGCAGCGCCATCACTAAATCAGACAGCCGGGATGACAAAGGAGGCACTAGGACAGGAAGCAACAACAAGTGCCACAATCCTAAATCTACCGCCCCAGTTACAGGAAAGCCGCAACCCGATGTTCCCACGCCTCACCCCTCTAACTGAAACACAACACGCACAACTCGAAACTCCACAAACCATGTCGGAACTACAAGTGCAGCCACCCCGCCTAAACACTAAACCCCAACCCAAACCCCACATCCTAAATCCACCGCCCGAACCACATACCAAAAAAGCCATGCCTTGCTGAAGGACCCATGGCATCGGGGGTTGAGATTCTGGGATGCTGTTCAGGAACTTAAACTAAGTTACTGTAACTTTGGAAACCCTGGTATTTACCACAAACCCCACCCAATTAGTGTGACTTAAAGATCTGAGGGTTCGTAACAGCAGCCCAGCCTTCAAAGATTTCGGGGCTCAGAGTTCAGGGTTTAAGGTTTTAGGGGCTTGGGGTTTGATGTTTTAATCCCTAAACCCTAGACCGTGTTTTTGCGGCTTGGGGTTCAGGGTTTAAGGCTGTAGGGGCGTAGGGTTTAGGATTTAGGAGACTTAGGGCTGTGGGTCTAGGCTTTAGGGTTAGGGTTTGGGGTTAGGATTTAGGGGGCTGAGGGTGTTGGGGGTTTAGGCTTTGGAGTTCAAGAGGCTGTGGCGTTAAGGGTTCAGGAAATGATAAGCGTACGCTCCCTGAGTTTAGGATTCAAGAGGGTCAGGCTTAGAGAGGCGTGAATGATTAGAATTGCCTTTTGGGAGAGGTATAATCCACAAACTAGAAGAGGATATTATTAGATATTAGTAGCCATTTCTCCGGCAAATCAAGCTGTTGAGGCTTCAACTTCCATAGTGCTTAGGCTTCAAACTGGTGCGAGTACAGTGTTTTGCGGTTCACAAGCTCCGGGTGTTTGCGGAACTCTTCATGAATTCGCCACTCGCCATGTCGCTTGAAAGTGAGGACGGCTATGTTTAAAAGGAGATGACGGAAGGCTCGCATGATTTTGAGGTGTTAGGGACTTTTGGCTGTAATTTAGGGGCCTTAATAATTAGAACAGGGTTTTGGGGGCTCCTTATTATACTTATAGTCCAATATACCCCCAAACCCTACTCTAATTATTAAGGACCCTATATTAGCCCTGTAGGATTTGGGGTTTTGCACCAGGGGTTGAAAGCCAGGTTGAAAATCCACAAAAAAACCCACAACACGCAAAGCCACGATCCGACTAACAACAAATCAGCGAGACCGGCCAACATCCTAAACTGTAGACTGACCTCCCCAAACACCACCCAAAGCCCTACAATAAGCAAAAGCAAGAAACAACACAAACAACACATCCCCAACCCCCTAAACCCTGAACCCCAAACCCTAAACCCGCATCCGTAGAGACGTATTCGTAGACCCTAAGCTAAATCCTAAACACCCAAAAAAACCACCGCCTCCCCCCAGGACCGACCCTCTGCGAACCTACTTCTCCGCAAGTGAGGTTCACTGCATAATTGCTCGTAATCCTGATTGAAGTAGTTGCTACCCTACTTTCTAAGCTCCCTGAAACCCCAAGCCCTAAATCCTGAACCGTCGCAGAACTCTACAGGTAGATACTATCGTTGCTGTGGCCTTACTTGCAACCCTATTTGCAACCCTTTAGAACACTAAGTCCCCCCGATCCTTTAAACAAGCGGCTTAGGCCGAGGTGTGGTCTCCGAGAGTTCGGGACTTCGGCGCTTCGGGCTTCTGAGAGGACTTAAGGCTAGGGTTTAGGGGTTAGGGTTTAGGGTTTAGGGTTTAGGGTTCAGGGTTTAGGGTTTAGGGTATATGAGGCTTTCAGAAAAGTTTTAAAGAGGTTTAGGAAGTGGTTGGCAAGCGTTTATCAAGGCTTTATGATCTTAAAGCCTTTGACATGGTTCTCTAAGTTGTTCGTAAAGGACTAGACTGCACAGCGCAATGCCTTGATAAGATGGCACCGCTAAATACAATAAGACAAGTACGATGCGGGCTCAGCTGTATTTTACGGTAGCATAATACCTGTTCGCTTGTGAGTGTAATCGTGTTTTTGCATCGCAGCTTCGGCATCGCACCTACATCGTATACTCAACCTTCTGATCAAAAAAGAAAACTAAAAGAAAGCGCTGGAAACACATGCAAAGATAGCTATATGGTCGGTCTTGTGGATTCAAGGGTTGAGGATTTCGTAAAGGGGATTTAAGAGCTTGACGGGTTTGCGCGCTAGGTTCTCATTTAAACAAGCGTAACGCTACTGCACCTGGCCGGACAATCGTCACAGTCTAGGGGACTTAGTATCTAAGGCTATGCGTACCTCGATTTGGGTTGATGAAGTATTGTTGCTTATAAATACTTAGAGCTATAGGTACCTTCTTCATGAACCTACCTTACTTGTAGCTGTAATATCTTATTTAAAGCTAGAACCCTACTAAACATCGGATCCTGTAAGAAGACCTCGACCAGAGCAATAGTCTTCCACCATATTTATGTGTTTGTATAGATGTATAATTATATATCTACATATGTATGTACATTTACATAATACACATGTATAGAGCATGATCTTTAGGCCCAGCATAGACGTATGGGTGTTTAGAGGTTTGGGATATAATCACAGACAGGTTTTTCTGAAGAGTTGGTCACGGGCGGCGCTGCTGTCACTTTCAGCTTCAAGATGCTGTTGCATCTTTTTGTCAAGAGCTTAGGGCCGTTCGGGTTTACACGGAACATCACATCGATCATCGCCGGTTGTCTTTATGCGCAGTCACGCTGCCGACAATTTTGTTCCACGTCAAGCGCGGGCCGTCAGAATGTGTACAGCGAGTGGCCTGCCACCAAACACTGAGCATGCTAGAGTAGGTGTAGCTTGACACGTCATTTGCAAACACACTGCATTGGGACCCTGCACAGGCCTGGCCTCGTTGCCTGCAACCGCTTGTATGCAGCACTGCGCGGCAAACTCCACCGCGGGTTTTGCTCTATTCCGAGCGTGCAGCAAAGCGGCGATGAAGCTCTACCCCTGCCTCAGACCACGACCAAAATCGAAGCCAAACAGCAGCTCAACGCAAAACGAAACCCAAAACACCCTAAACCTAGTTCCACTGCTTGGCACATGCTGTAGGCAACCAGACTGAACCATAGTCGTGATAGCACTAGCGGCGACAGTAACAGTAACGTAGTAACAGTGGCAGCAGTAGCTGGGGCTATCTCACTAGTGGTATTGGTTTTAGTAGTAGCAGGAGTCGCAGTAGCAGCAGCAGCAGCAGCAGCAGCAGTAGCTGCAGCAGCAGCAGCAGCAGTAGCTGCAGCAGCAGCAGCAGCGGTAGCATAGTAGATATTAGTAGCAAATAGTAGTAGTGGTCGCAAAGAACATAACCGTAGCATGGCTGAAGAAGCAGCAGGAGCAGTGTAGTAGTAGAAAAAGACGAAGTAGTACTAGTAGTAGTAGTAGTAGTAGTAGTAGTAGTAGTAGTGGTAGTAGTGGTAGTAGTGGCAGCAGTAGCAGTAGCAGCAGTAATAGTAGTAGAAGCAGTCGTCGTCGTAGTAGTAGTAGCAAAAGCGGTAGTAGTCGTAGTAGTAGTAGTAGTAGTCGTCGTCGTCGTCGTCGTCGTCGTCGTAATCGTCGTCGTCGTAGTCGTAGTCGTAGTCGTAGTAGTAGTAGTAGTGGTAGTAGTGGAAGTAGTAGTAGTAGTAGTAGTAGTAGTAGTAGTAGTAGAAGTAGTAGTAATAGTAGTAGTAATAGTGGTGGCAACAGTAGCAGCAGGAGGCATAGGAATATGAGAAGCAGGAGGAGGAGGAGGACGAGGAGACGAGGAGGAGGAGGAGGCAGCAGCAGCAACAGCGGCGGCAGCAGAAGCAGCGGCAGCATTTATCGGGGTCGTCGCGGTTCTTGCGCTGGTACAACAGTACGGAGTACAACAAACAGTCAAAGCAGGAGCAGTAGCGGCAGTAGGCGAGTTTGCTGTTGTTAGTTACTTGTGGACACTGCTGGCCTGTTATACGAGTCATGATAGAATCAAGAGATCCACTGCCCAGGCTTGAAAAAGCCCTATGCCAAAAACACAAACCGAAATCCTACAGAAGGGGACGCCGTGGATGCTTGTTTGTTCTTTGCGGGTTGTGTTCCCAGGAGGCCCAAGATTCAAATATTCAACTTTCTGATATACGGGCGCGCGCGCGGCCCTTGGAGCGGATCCAAGAAGCTTTTTTCTGCAGCCTTGGATCTCGGATCCAGGGGCGGCCAGATTTAAATCTGAAAAAAGTTACATCGTTAAATATTTAAAGACGCCCCCCCCCCTGGATCTCCAAGATCCAAGACTGCGGAGAAAAGATTCTTGGATCCGCTCATCCTAATATAGCGGCCTTAGAAATTACCCGTGCTATTTTGGGGGTTCCTCATTATATTTATAGTATAATATTCCCCAAAACCCAGTTCTGTTTATTGAGGCCCCTATATTGAACAACAAACCCTTTAAGCTCCCACCCTAAAACTCCGAATTCCTCCTCTTCAAGACCTGGAAACCCCAAACACCAAACAGGTGTAAGGCTTACGAAGACACCCCCGAAACCTTTCCTTTGCAAGCTCTAACGAAATCCGTGTAAAGTAAAACGACCTCACATTCTTCAGTTTTTATCGAGAAGCAATCGCCACCTGACAAACACCTCATCACAGCACCTCCATAAAACCCGTAAAGGCCCCCAAAGAGTCACAGCCCCCGTGCCCTCGACAAAAAATACCTGAACCCCAAACCCAAAACCCCAAACCCCAAACCCTCAACCCTAAACCCTAAACCCCAAGCCCTAAACCCCGAACCCTGAAAGGGAACTTAGGCCTCTCCGAGCCGAAGCTACACAGAAAACAGCTCCAAGGACCCTTTCCAAGTC